GGTTTTTTTTTTTTTTTTTTTTTTAAGGGGGTGGGTAAAAATCAAACAATAATCTAATTACAACGAGCATATACCAGAGCCTTGACTTAAATTCCTGCATTTTGGCTTCCTTTTCGAGTTGGGTAAAAGTAAAGTTAGTTTTGATGTAAAAACCCTATAATAAAGATTATTGTACACAAGCAGACCTTAACAGTTATGTGGTTGAAGGACTAATAATCCGAAAGAGTTAGGTAAACCGTAGACATCAACCGTTAAGTGATCTCATTATTTACATATAATAGTTTGACTAAAATATTTGAAGGGGTTATATTTTCTTTGTTTTATGAGATCAAGATGGGAAAAAGTCATTAAAAATTTCATAGGAGAAAATATATAGCTCTTGCTTACTTGAGTAATCTTTATCTTTATTAATGAAAGAAACTACTAAGCGCAGACAAAGGAGAATTCCAATTTAATCTTCACTGAAATCTTATACCAAACTTTTCTTAAAACAAAATTGTTGAATAATTGAAAGGAAAAAAATCTCAATGAAGAAAAATAATTGAAAAGAAGCCAAAAAACATCCCCCAACCGCAAAAGCAAGAAACACAGCTCCTCCAAGTTAGATTATAAGAGCTTTGCTACAGGGACCCAAAATATGGGATTAATAGGGAGGAATGATGACCACCTCATTATCCAATAGCAGGGGGACACCTCACTTGTCCCCCCTATTGATCCCATATTTTGGGTCCTTGAGGAATTTTTCATCTAATAATGACTATTATACTTACTCATCTTAGAAGCAAAAATACATGCATCAAAATCTTTAATTAAAAATCCAACCCACCGTTTATTACTTCCAAAAAACTTTACGGGCCAGGATCTGATAATGAACAGACTATTGAGCATTCGATATTGCACCATATTTATTGAGTTTTTATATTGGTCTCCCACTCTTTCATATTTCGAGAATAGTCTCCAAAATCTTTATATTTTTTATTGGTTCCTCAAATCTTCATATTTTGAGATTGTTCCTGTAAATTTGTTAAGTGCTTTGAAATTAGTCCCCAGAACCTTTCAATCCGGTGCTAACAAGAGGGGCTAATTTCAGAACAATTAACACATTTATGGGATTAACTTAAAAAAAACTGAAGGTTTTGGGGGACTAATTGCAAAATATGAAAATGTGAAGGACTAAAATAAAAATATGAAGCATGTAGGAGGCTAGAGAGAGAGAGAGGGGATCTTTGTTGATAAATTAAATGGTTTTTGCCGATATTAGTAATATCGGCAAAAACCATTTAATTTATCAACAAAGATCCCCCCTCTCTCTCTCTCTTCTGCTCTTATTCCCACCTCCGGTGACCGCACACCTCATCTCCTCCACAAAATCCCAGTCCCCTCGAGTGCGGTCACCGCCCAACTCCACCATTAAAAAAAAATGGCCGCGGTTTCTTCACCCTCGTCGGTCGCTAAAGACTCGACCGTCGCTCTCAACTCATCCATTTTCGGCCGCCGATTGCCCTTACGTTTTGAGAAATTACGGGTGAGTCCCTCGGAATCGCCTTCGTCTTCGATCTCCTGCTCCAGGACGAAGCAGGCGGCGGCGGCCGTCGCCGGCGACCGTCGCAGGGGTTTGGCTGCGGCCGGACTCTTTCGGGAGGTACGGTAAATTTGGCGGGAAGTATGTACCCGAAACCCTAATGCACGCCCTTACTGAGCTTGAGGAGGCGTTTCGTTCGCTCGCTAAAGATGAGGACTTTCAGGTGATTTTGAGCTGTTTTAGGGTTTTGTTGGAGCGCTGTGATTGAAAAAACTGGATTTTGATGAAAATGGGGAAACTTTTTATTTTTAATGGCTTATACATAGGCAGCGTTTATTCTAACCGGCACTAGATTACATTTGGTGTATGACTTATTTTTGTTCCTTGGAGTTAATTGTTGAGTGGAAAAGTTGGCTTCTTTTTTTAACGTGTAAAGCTATTGATATGTGGCGTTGAAATCAGTTAGCTAGATTGATGTCTCTTATTTTAACCTCTCCTGATTCAACCCTGGTTAATTTTGGAGTTACTTACCGTTGGTCGAAATTTTGTTGAAATCTGCTTTAGAATTCACTCGGAAAGTTTGATGGGTTGAATCTTGGTCAGTAAGAGGAGGAGAAGTAGAGTTAGGGCTTAATCCCTACCAAATAGTCATAAGATTGCCGATTCAAAAAAAGAGGAATTACCCGGTTCTTACTGGGGCATGAGCACCCCATCCTAAAGATTCGTCAATTTCTTTAGCTGACTCTGGTAATGTTTTTATTCCTCTGCATTTGGTCGTCTCTGAAACGATAACATAGATAAATATGAGATCCTTTAGCTTGCATGTTTTTCTACCGCCTCCGGGCTGTTCATTTGTGCTTTGTCTTCTCTTCCCCCGTTGTAGAGAGAACTGGATGGTATTCTCAAGGACTACGTTGGACGCGAAAGTCCTCTTTACTTTGCGGAAAGGCTCACCGACCGTTACAAACAATCTAATGGCGAGGGACCTCTCATATACCTTAAAAGGGAAGATCTAAACCACACTGGAGCGCATAAGATAAACAATGCAGTAGCACAAGCTTTGTTGGCGAAGCGACTTGGAAAGAAGCGGATAATAGCTGAAACCGGAGCTGGTCAGCACGGAGTTGCAACCGCTACTGTTTGTGCAAGGTTTGGCTTACAATGTGTTATTTATATGGGTGCTCAAGATATGGAGAGACAGGCTCTTAATGTTTTCAGAATGCGGCTTCTTGGGGCAGAGGTTAGAAGTCATCAACTTACTAATAACACCATCTCTTGATATCACATGCATTTATCTGTATTAACTTGTCCAGTAAAGGTCATTCATGATTTTAAGAATTTGTATTTATTATTTCCTTTAACATGCAAGTGATGGATTGTGTGGAACTTGATTCTGCTCGAGTCATCAGACTTGTGATTGTCTTCAATTACAACTTTATACTTGACTGTTATATTGTTCCATCAGGAGGCTGTTGCTTTATAGTATTTTACTGATGTTTTATTTTCATGGTTAATTGCGCAGTGTATTCAGAAGTGGAGGTAATTTTCTGTGTTTTTTGTGTCGGCTGGGCGTGGCGGAGCAATTTTGTATGAAAGTTGAGGGTAGAGAACTATGTTCTGTTTTAGACTCTTTAGCATCTATGAGCTTCATGGATGGATTGAACTTGAAATAACATTTTTTTTTTAATGTTACAAGCTTTGGAAACTCAAAAGTTTCATAATAGATTCTGAGTCAACAGGTTATGTAATAATTGGGCAAGTTCTTGTTTGTGACTTCTCAATGTTAAAATTGATGTTATTTGCCTCAAATGCACTCTTCATGCCAGTCTCAGTTGAAAAGATCCATAATTTGAAGGGGTTAAAGCATTGAAAACCTGATGTTATTTTAGTTTTTCTTAGTTGTTTTCTTTTTTAACAAGGGGTGACTGATGCCTCATTTTCTGCTATATCTGTAATCACCATGTTTTGGAAAGTGCTCCATTATTCTCTTAAGATGAAACGTGGACAAACAAACTCTGTAGAATGTGTTTAGTTTCTTACATCCAATCCTTGCATTTATGTTATTCAGTCGCTTTAACATTTTATAGGTGAGAGGAGTTCACTCTGGAACTGCAACCCTGAAGGATGCAACATCAGAAGCCATAAGAGACTGGGTGACCAATGTAGAAACAACCCATTACATTTTGGGTTCAGTTGCAGGTCCCCATCCTTATCCAATGATGGTAAGAGAATTCCACGCGGTGATCGGCAAAGAAACAAGAAAGCAAGCAATGGAAAAATGGGGAGGAAAGCCAGACATTTTAGTTGCTTGTGTTGGTGGAGGCTCAAATGCAATGGGGCTCTTCCATGAGTTTGTTGATGATAATGATGTGAGATTAATTGGAGTTGAAGCAGCAGGGCATGGTTTAGATAGCGGTAAACATGCTGCAACTTTGACTAAAGGAGAGGTTGGGGTTCTTCACGGAGCTATGAGTTATTTGTTGCAGGATGATGATGGGCAGATTATTGAACCTCATTCTATAAGTGCTGGGTTAGTTTGACATACGTTCTAGTTAAATTTTATTTTCACTGATATGATGTTGAACTTATATCTCTCTCCTTAATTATCAGTTTGGATTACCCTGGTGTGGGACCGGAGCATAGCTTTTTGAAGGATATTGGACGTGCTGAATATTATAGCGTCACTGATGAAGAAGCTTTGGAAGGTAACCGATAAAATATCCTATTTTAAATCTTTTTTTTTTTGCTTGTGATATTCTGTGTCATCTTTTTGTTGTTAGATATAACATCAAAACTTTATTTGAATTATCTGGATGCCTGTGATAAATTTTTAAATTACATTTACAAACTTGCCCTCTCAGGTTCCAATTTGTCTCTAGATCCACCCACTGATTATTCTCATCACACCAATTAGTCTGAGACCCAGAGACCTTTTGATACCTCTTGTCAACAATTAATTTGCTGCCGCTTCTTCCACCACCGAAATTATTTTATCAAAATCAGTCATGCTGTTTTAATATGTGCCTTTCATGTTTAATATTTCACAGAGACCTAGGAAGCGATCACAGGTGATGACATACCATTAATGTTCGTGTGAACTTCATAGAGTTCATATATTTATCTCCTATCCAGTGGTCCCTCTTTCACGTAAATGGAGTGTTTTCTTGAGTTAACTTGTTTGAATTCTAAGATCTAATTACATTCTTGGATATAGACTTCTTCAGACACAAGAAACCTTTTGCTAGTTTAGGCCTTGTTTTGCAGAAGGTAAGGTATGAGAAGTTTTGAGCTACCAACTATACTTGTTATAATAAGTGGCTGGAAACCGAGCTTTCTTATTTCCATGTTCTCAACCGGGGTTAAACAGAAATGTCTACCTCTTCCCCAACAGTGCCTTGATATGTTTATGTGTAGTTTATCGAAGATAGGCCGATAGCTGGTACTTGGTGAAGAGTCTAGTTTCTGAATGTTTGATATCTCACATTTGTTCATCATCTGCACCTTTTCCACTAGCATTGGCCCCCTGCTGATCAATTCTTTGTGAATGTACTCAGCGTTCAAGTTGCTGTCAAGATTGGAGGGCATCATTCCTGCGCTGGAAACTTCGCATGCGATAGCCTACTTGGAAAAGCTCTGCCCGACTCTTGCCAATGGGCTGCGGCCGGACTCTTTCGGGAGGTACGGTAAATTTGGCGGGAAGTATGTACCCGAAACCCTAATGCACGCCCTTACTGAGCTTGAGGAGGCGTTTCGTTCGCTCGCTAAAGATGAGGACTTTCAGGTGATTTTGAGCTGTTTTAGGGTTTTGTTGGAGCGCTGTGATTGAAAAAACTGGATTTTGATGAAAATGGGGAAACTTTTTATTTTTAATGGCTTATACATAGGCAGCGTTTATTCTAACCGGCACTAGATTACATTTGGTGTATGACTTATTTTTGTTCCTTGGAGTTAATTGTTGAGTGGAAAAGTTGGCTTCTTTTTTTAACGTGTAAAGCTATTGATATGTGGCGTTGAAATCAGTTAGCTAGATTGATGTCTCTTATTTTAACCTCTCCTGATTCAACCCTGGTTAATTTTGGAGTTACTTACCGTTGGTCGAAATTTTGTTGAAATCTGCTTTAGAATTCACTCGGAAAGTTTGATGGGTTGAATCTTGGTCAGTAAGAGGAGGAGAAGTAGAGTTAGGGCTTAATCCCTACCAAATAGTCATAAGATTGCCGATTCAAAAAAAGAGGAATTACCCGGTTCTTACTGGGGCATGAGCACCCCATCCTAAAGATTCGTCAATTTCTTTAGCTGACTCTGGTAATGTTTTTATTCCTCTGCATTTGGTCGTCTCTGAAACGATAACATAGATAAATATGAGATCCTTTAGCTTGCATGTTTTTCTACCGCCTCCGGGCTGTTCATTTGTGCTTTGTCTTCTCTTCCCCCGTTGTAGAGAGAACTGGATGGTATTCTCAAGGACTACGTTGGACGCGAAAGTCCTCTTTACTTTGCGGAAAGGCTCACCGACCGTTACAAACAATCTAATGGCGAGGGACCTCTCATATACCTTAAAAGGGAAGATCTAAACCACACTGGAGCGCATAAGATAAACAATGCAGTAGCACAAGCTTTGTTGGCGAAGCGACTTGGAAAGAAGCGGATAATAGCTGAAACCGGAGCTGGTCAGCACGGAGTTGCAACCGCTACTGTTTGTGCAAGGTTTGGCTTACAATGTGTTATTTATATGGGTGCTCAAGATATGGAGAGACAGGCTCTTAATGTTTTCAGAATGCGGCTTCTTGGGGCAGAGGTTAGAAGTCATCAACTTACTAATAACACCATCTCTTGATATCACATGCATTTATCTGTATTAACTTGTCCAGTAAAGGTCATTCATGATTTTAAGAATTTGTATTTATTATTTCCTTTAACATGCAAGTGATGGATTGTGTGGAACTTGATTCTGCTCGAGTCATCAGACTTGTGATTGTCTTCAATTACAACTTTATACTTGACTGTTATATTGTTCCATCAGGAGGCTGTTGCTTTATAGTATTTTACTGATGTTTTATTTTCATGGTTAATTGCGCAGTGTATTCAGAAGTGGAGGTAATTTTCTGTGTTTTTTGTGTCGGCTGGGCGTGGCGGAGCAATTTTGTATGAAAGTTGAGGGTAGAGAACTATGTTCTGTTTTAGACTCTTTAGCATCTATGAGCTTCATGGATGGATTGAACTTGAAATAACATTTTTTTTTTAATGTTACAAGCTTTGGAAACTCAAAAGTTTCATAATAGATTCTGAGTCAACAGGTTATGTAATAATTGGGCAAGTTCTTGTTTGTGACTTCTCAATGTTAAAATTGATGTTATTTGCCTCAAATGCACTCTTCATGCCAGTCTCAGTTGAAAAGATCCATAATTTGAAGGGGTTAAAGCATTGAAAACCTGATGTTATTTTAGTTTTTCTTAGTTGTTTTCTTTTTTAACAAGGGGTGACTGATGCCTCATTTTCTGCTATATCTGTAATCACCATGTTTTGGAAAGTGCTCCATTATTCTCTTAAGATGAAACGTGGACAAACAAACTCTGTAGAATGTGTTTAGTTTCTTACATCCAATCCTTGCATTTATGTTATTCAGTCGCTTTAACATTTTATAGGTGAGAGGAGTTCACTCTGGAACTGCAACCCTGAAGGATGCAACATCAGAAGCCATAAGAGACTGGGTGACCAATGTAGAAACAACCCATTACATTTTGGGTTCAGTTGCAGGTCCCCATCCTTATCCAATGATGGTAAGAGAATTCCACGCGGTGATCGGCAAAGAAACAAGAAAGCAAGCAATGGAAAAATGGGGAGGAAAGCCAGACATTTTAGTTGCTTGTGTTGGTGGAGGCTCAAATGCAATGGGGCTCTTCCATGAGTTTGTTGATGATAATGATGTGAGATTAATTGGAGTTGAAGCAGCAGGGCATGGTTTAGATAGCGGTAAACATGCTGCAACTTTGACTAAAGGAGAGGTTGGGGTTCTTCACGGAGCTATGAGTTATTTGTTGCAGGATGATGATGGGCAGATTATTGAACCTCATTCTATAAGTGCTGGGTTAGTTTGACATACGTTCTAGTTAAATTTTATTTTCACTGATATGATGTTGAACTTATATCTCTCTCCTTAATTATCAGTTTGGATTACCCTGGTGTGGGACCGGAGCATAGCTTTTTGAAGGATATTGGACGTGCTGAATATTATAGCGTCACTGATGAAGAAGCTTTGGAAGGTAACCGATAAAATATCCTATTTTAAATCTTTTTTTTTTTGCTTGTGATATTCTGTGTCATCTTTTTGTTGTTAGATATAACATCAAAACTTTATTTGAATTATCTGGATGCCTGTGATAAATTTTTAAATTACATTTACAAACTTGCCCTCTCAGGTTCCAATTTGTCTCTAGATCCACCCACTGATTATTCTCATCACACCAATTAGTCTGAGACCCAGAGACCTTTTGATACCTCTTGTCAACAATTAATTTGCTGCCGCTTCTTCCACCACCGAAATTATTTTATCAAAATCAGTCATGCTGTTTTAATATGTGCCTTTCATGTTTAATATTTCACAGAGACCTAGGAAGCGATCACAGGTGATGACATACCATTAATGTTCGTGTGAACTTCATAGAGTTCATATATTTATCTCCTATCCAGTGGTCCCTCTTTCACGTAAATGGAGTGTTTTCTTGAGTTAACTTGTTTGAATTCTAAGATCTAATTACATTCTTGGATATAGACTTCTTCAGACACAAGAAACCTTTTGCTAGTTTAGGCCTTGTTTTGCAGAAGGTAAGGTATGAGAAGTTTTGAGCTACCAACTATACTTGTTATAATAAGTGGCTGGAAACCGAGCTTTCTTATTTCCATGTTCTCAACCGGGGTTAAACAGAAATGTCTACCTCTTCCCCAACAGTGCCTTGATATGTTTATGTGTAGTTTATCGAAGATAGGCCGATAGCTGGTACTTGGTGAAGAGTCTAGTTTCTGAATGTTTGATATCTCACATTTGTTCATCATCTGCACCTTTTCCACTAGCATTGGCCCCCTGCTGATCAATTCTTTGTGAATGTACTCAGCGTTCAAGTTGCTGTCAAGATTGGAGGGCATCATTCCTGCGCTGGAAACTTCGCATGCGATAGCCTACTTGGAAAAGCTCTGCCCGACTCTTGCCAATGGCACAAAGGTTGTTCTTAACTGCAGCGGAAGGGGCGACAAGGATGTCCAAACTGCTATCAAACACCTGAAAATGTGAACCTAAGATTGGACACTGTGTTCCCTGGCACGGGCAGCGCAGGCTGTCTGGAGAGTATTAGTGGTAATACTGATAACATCCCCTGGTCCCTAGTTCGATTCGGTATCCAACAAATGAAAATAATAATAATAGATACAGATTGAACATTGTGTTGTAAAACAGATTAATAATAAGAACCCTCATTTCAGGTCCATTCTTTTTCTTTTCTTTATATATATATCTGGAATCGTTGCTATTGATGTTCGATCTCGAAGAGAAGGAAAAGATCTTCGAAAAGTGGGTTTTTACGATCCGATACAGAATCAAACTTATTTAAACGTTCCCGCTATTCGTTATTTCCTTGAAAAAGGTGCTCAACCTACAGGAACTGTTCATGAAGATGGGAATCCTTGTCATAGGAGGGGATTTCCTCATTGCCGCCTATGTGGCACAATCCTCACCATCCTCATAAAGTAGGCACAAATCTCCTCCTATGGTGGGGATTGTTACTGAAAATTTTCTTCCAGTATCCTTGGTCTTCTTGTTTGTTTCCTTTGCTGAATATACACAGCAGGAAAGTTGGGTCTATGAAGATTCTGTTCACTTCTTGTTTTGATAAGGGTGATTAGTAATTTGCTAAATTATAATTGTTTATGGTTTGAGTCACTGAAAAAATTAACCACTAAATTACGCCTTGATAACAACATAGAAACACATTTTTCCCGCGGACAAATTTTCAAAACCATCCAGTTTTGAAATTTATTCCCAAAAAAGACTATTTTCAACTTTAAATACAAAAAGCAGACCCAGTAACAAAACTTCACGGGAGTTCAACTCCCGTGAAGTTTGATTTTTTTTTTTTCAAAAACAGACCCAGTTTCATCCAACTGGGTCTGTTTTTATAATTAAAGTTGAAATATGTCGTTTTTTGTAAATAAATTTTAAAAAGGGATGGTTTTGAAAATGTGTCCTTTTTCCCGCACACAAGGCAATCTGCTACAGTGGCAAACAATGAGATTATTCTGAGCATTTTCAACGCAAGGTATTTCCTATTTTCCTTTTCTTTTTTTTATTCTTTTTTTTATCATTATACTTAAATTTCTTTTCTCCATCCCTTCTTCCTCGATTTGTCACTGTCATCATGAGGCCACGCTATCAATTGGATCACCCCTCCTTTTGCTCTTCCTTTATCTATATATATGGTAGATCCATTATCTGCCGGAATTAGAGGTATAATCAATTTAGAATTAAAATAAATTACGAATCATAATTCATTGAAAATAAGGGGGTGTTTGGTTCAATTTCTAGAAATTATAGAAAATGTTTTCCACCTAAAATATGATTTCCTTGTATTTCTTAAAAAAAATTATAAGAAAAGTTTTGAGAAATCAAAAAATACCAATTTTCTTGTTTTTTGTACTTTGCTTGTTTGGTTCAAAACTAGAAAATAGC